TCAGATTTTAGATTTTCGTTTCAAAGGGAAAAAGGTGGGAACAAAGGGGGTCACAGTTTGCGCCTGCAAGGAAGTGAGGACCCTTCGGGAGGGACTGGGACGGCGAGGGGTCTCGGGGCTGCTGGACCTGCGCGCCCCTAAGGCCCGCGTCTGCCCAGCAGGCCCCCTGCGCTCGGCTCGGTCGGGACAGCTGCCTGGAGGACGCCGGCGAGGCGGGAGGCTGAGTGGGCCATCCCGGCCCCAGACTGGTGCAAGCTGTATGTCCCTCGCTTCCCTCCCTTCCAAGGGGGATCTGGGGATGTGGGACGGTCTGGTGGCCTGGTTTAATAATCAGCTTGGTTCCCAGGCCCGAGGGCTCTCGGCCCGCCTGGGAGTCATTGAGCAGAGAGCACGGGGGACTTGTGCCCACGCCCGGGTCTCGACTCGGGGTCCAAGTCGCCAAGGCCTGCACCCAGCGTGCTCAGCTCCGAGGCGGAAGATCCTGATGCTGCCTCCTTGAAAGGGATATTAAATGCAACAATTCAAAGACTAGGGCCAAGCAGGACCTTCGTTATTTTGTTCACTTTGTTTGGATTTTTCAATCAGCATGTTTCAGAAATGACCTCCTTTTCTAGGAGCAGTGAACCGGCCATTGCTAAGCAGCGCCCCTCCAATTGCGGGGCTCTCCTCATCCCCCACCCGCACCCGCACCCTCACCCCATCCTCCAACACCACACACACACACACACACACACACACACACACACACACACACTCGCTTGTCTTTTCTTGCTTCGCTGGGTTGTTGCAGCTGGCGGCAAACGCCCAACTCCCGGCTCAAATAGCCGCGAGCGAGGACAGCGCGGCCTTCCCGGCCGGGAACTCTAGATGGCGCCAGCGAGCCGCGCTCGCCAAGCTCCTTAAGGGAATCAAGAGCGACTGTCAAACATAAAAGCAAATCAGAGTTTTCAGTTTTTTTTAATGTGTTAAGAATGTTATTCCTTAAGAAAATTTGTAGCTAAATTATTCTCACTTAAAATAAACACTTAGTATACCAATTACACAAATGGGCGGGATTTATGTAAGATTTACTTCATCTGCATTTTTGTTGTGGGAGAGAGAGCCTTGGTGAATACAGAATAATAGATGCAAATAAGATTAGAGTTAAAATAAATAAAGTTTCCATCTGAATAAAAAAGAAATTCAATTTCACACGACTGGTAACGGTTTTGACGGGATGTCCAGACACGCCGTTTCAGGTGCACAATCTAATCTCGTCAAGATAATGTTGTGTCCCATCCTTGAGGAAAGAAAAACCGTTCTTTTCTTTTTTCTTTTTCCTCATCGGTAGGATCCAATTCACTCCAAGAGGGGAAAGTAAGGCCGGAGCAAACGCCAGGGGAGGGTACAGATTGGACCAGGGAAAACTTGGTCTTCGTTCCTCTGCTGCGCTGGAAGCTGCCACCCAGCAGGAAACGCTGGGAGAAAACGGCTGAAACGAAATCCGGTTACCCCTCGCCCGCCCGGACCTAAGTCCTGTCTGCGCCCCCCGCCCCACACCGGCCTCCAGGCTGCAGCCCTGTCCGAGCCCCCCTCTCCTCCCGGGCCCGGAGCTCCAGTAGCCCAGGACCCCGGAGCCCCGAGGTGGCCCTGGGGAGACTGGCCCCATCAGGTGAAGACCCAAGTCTCCCTGAGCTCTCGCCTCCCATGCACAGTCTCTCCAATTTGCTCGGCCTCGGCGGGTCTCCACCCGCCCAGGTCGTTTCCCAGGGTCCCCGTTGGTCCCCCTAAGAGTGGGGGGGCTCCAGGAGGAGGGGTGGGCTCTGTGTTGGCTTGTCGGCTCCGCTCTCGGGGCAGGAGCCCCGCTCCCTGCAGGTTCAGGGTCTGCGAGCAGCGCTGGTCGGGCCGGGCGCTCGGGCCGGCCGCCGCCGCCCGCCGCTCCCGGGAGCCGCGGTGATGGACGTCCGCTGACCCGCGGGGCAGAGGGAGCAGGCAGGGGCCTTGATCACTGGGCTGCGGAGCCAGCCGCACGGCCGGCGGGACCTGCATGGCCAGGCCCTTTGATCTGCTTTTATTATCCGCGAGAAACAAAGCTGCCTGGGACAGACGCCGGGCGCCCTGGTCCCCCGGGAAAGCCCAGCTCACCCTCACCTCCGCGCCGCGGCCCCGCGCCCCCAGGGTGCCGGGCACCCTCTGGGCTTCCAGAGCTCCGGCCCCAGGCCCCCAGCGCAAATGCAACCCCTGCGGGCCTCTGGGGAACACGAACCCTGAACCAAAAGGCGCGCGGTGGGTGGGGTGGGAGGTCCCTGCCGGGAACGGTTTGGTTTGGGAGAGAAAATAGCCGGAGAAAAGAAGAAGGAGAGCGGGGCGTCCGAGGCTGCGGCGGGGACCGCGAGGAGGGAAGGGAGGAAGCCCCGGAACCTCACGCTTGCAAACTCCCCTCTGAGAACCTCTGCTCTGTTTTATCGCTACTTTGTGACGTGGCTTCTCAGAGCAGAGCAGAGATCCCGAGAAAACATACTGCTGTTAATAACAATGATTTATTTCTTTCTTCCCTAAACATCAAAACCTCATTCAAGTTCCCAAGATGGACAGTAATAAAAAATTTTTTTTTCCAATTGGGGCTGACTTTGCTTGTGTTGCCTATTGTGTGTGGGAGCCTCTTAAAAACATTTTATTCTGTAAATACGCATTTTATTTTTCTAAATTACCATTTTTCTCCCCGAATTGTGAAATTATCTCATTTACCAATTTTCTTTTCGTCTCCTCTCCCTCTTCTGCTCTCCCTCTCTTTTTTAAACCGGGGCTGTTAAGTTGGTGGTCAGAAGACAAAGAGAGTGAAAATAATTTTCATTTCAATAATTGCCTTCTGGTCAATTTAACTGTGCCTTATTTTGAAAGAGACTGTCTAAATGAGATTCCTGTCCCGAATGTGTTCCCAGGCCTGATCCCAGCCTTTAATTATTCCCGAGGTTTTTTTCTTCAGAATAAGACGCCGCACTGAGTAATCACAAAGAAGTCAGAGAGCATCCTTGAACCTTTTCAGAGGCAGCGCCACTGATATTCAAATAACCTGCGAGGGCCATTTGACGGGCGCGGGGACCTCGGCATTTCCAATTCACTATTTGCATAGATCAGCCGTCTTTGAAAAGGAAAGGAGCAGTTGTCTTCCATAACATTAAAAAGCCTAGTTATCAAATCAAGTGCTTAGTTTGGGGGGCTTTTAAAACGTTTACATTTTATCTCAGGTTGCCCTTTACCGTTTGACATGCAAATTTGGCGCAGTTAATTTAGACAATTAAAAAGATCTTCAAGGGAGCTTTGTCACAGAGAATATTTGGAGTTTTCCCCGTGGACCAGCTGAGATAAAGTTGGCCAGAACAAATGATGTCTAGGAGATTAATTAGATATTTGATAAGACATGAATCCCTAATAAGGGAATACAAGGCACAGGGGGCTGCTGTGTGCTCTAAGTCAAAATTAATAACATTTAACAAGATTTTCATTTAGGCATGAAATGTCTTTTCCGGAGTATTGACTCCAGCGATTTATTCCCTGGAGTTGCCTCCCAACATAGAGGGCCTTGGGAAGGAAGACTTCTTTTTAAAAGCTTTTCCCTTTCAGATTGCTTTTAAATCACTTTTTAAAAACAAATAAACCCGCGGGTGTTTTTCCTGACCCCTTCCAGGAGGTGTAAGCACCTCCCCAGTTAAAATTGTCAAAGACCTTTTTTTTTTTTTTTTTCCCTTAGGTGTTCCAGAGTTTTAAAATGTCACCTTTTGAGAACTCTCTCATTAAGTAATACAACTACACGTTCTTATAACCCAATTTAATTTACGCTGTTAATATACAAATAAATAATTTTGACTCCTCAAAAAACGGATGTTTATGGCTTTTATAACTTACATGAACCTTCCATCACCTATAACTAACATTAAGGGAATTTTTATTCCCAACCAAAAATGTTGACCCACATAAAGGTTATTGAGGGAGGAATAGGATTTTAAAAAGGAAGTGTATTGTTCAGAGTCCTTTAATAATACCAAAATGAAAATTTGTCAGGATTTTCTTCATACAGATAAACGCATTTAATTTCTTTAGGTGGCCTTAACTTATGAGTTTGTGAGTGAAATGATAACTCAACATTTTAAATATCTTTTACATATATATATACTGACTTTCACAAAGTGCATCAGAAAATTAAAGAAAAAAACTCCCTGAATTTCAGGAATTCACCAAAAAACAAAACAAAAACCCAAACAACTCTATTCGAATGAACATTTACAAGAAAATAAAAGAGAACATAATCTTTTGAACCCTATTTATACAGATGTTGTCAAATACAGAGCTGTCACTAGACTTCCAGTTTAATTTCTCACCTTAAGCCTTTTATGATGCTTCCCTTTTTTTTTTTTTTTAGGAAAAAAAAGTCTCAATGTAAGTAGATATCAAGCAGGACTTGGAGTATTTTATATATAATATAATCCACACAAAAGGTCTGTTTGTATAGGTCCGGTTTCTTTGAAAGTGTTCTGACAGTTCCTTTGCAGGATGGTGGCTTGTTTTTGGAGAAAAGGAAAGAGAAAGGGAGCGGAGGGGGTGGAGGAGGGAGCGTGTATTGCTCTTCCCTCGAGAAGTTTGTGCGTGTGGTGTGTACGTGTGCGTGTGTGCGGGTGTGTGTGCTTTGGGTTGCGAGTCTCTCGGGGTGTGTGTGTGTGTGTGTGTGTGTGTGTGTGTGTGTGTGTGTGCGCGCCGTTTGTAAGTAGTGTTGTTGTGTCGGAGGATGGTTTGCTTTTGTTCCTGGACCACGCGTTCGATTCCCTTGTGAGCTCCGACAGCAAAGGGGAGCTCCTGGCGCAGCCGGCGAAGAGCGCCCGGGGAGCCGGCTTCCGCTCCACCTCGCGCCGGCCCGGGGGCGCCCCCGGAGCCCCAGCCCGTCCGTCCCCCGCTCACTCGCTCGCCCTCGGAACCTCTCGACGTCTCTGCCCGCTGCTCGCACGCGCCTTTCGCCTGATCGATCTCTAGGAGTCGCCGGGGCCGGACGCGGCTTCCTTGCCTCCAGCCGAGGCCGCCGCCGCTGCTGCTGCTGCTGCCGCCGCCGCCGCCGCCCGGGCGGCGCTGACCCCGGGATCGTGCAGGAGGAGGTCGGGGGACTCGGAGCGCGGCGTCTCCAGGTTGCTGGCGTCTGTGTCACTGTCGCTGCCCTTTTTGCCCCCGCCGCCCCCGCTGTGCGTCTTAATGTGTTTGCTCAGGTGGTCGCTGCGCATGAAGCGCTTGTTGCAGACCGGGCAGGCGAAGCGCTTCTCGCCCGTGTGGGTCCGCAGGTGCCGCTGCAGCTCGTCCGAGCGCGTGAAGCGCTTGCCGCAGAAGAGCCAGTTGCACACGAAGGGCCGCTCGCCCGTGTGCCAGCGCAGGTGCGCCTTCAGGTGCGACGTCTTGCCGTACACCTTGCCGCAGCCGGGGATGTGGCAGCTGTGCAGGCCCTTGCGCCGCAGGCTCGCGCCGGCGGGGCCCAGGCGCTCGGCCTCCTGGCAGTTGGGGCAGTCGCAGGTGGCGCGGCCCGAGTAGCGGCGGGCGGAGCGCGCCGAGCTCCCCCCGGCGGCGGCGGCGGCCGCGGCCCCCGAGATCATGGCGCTGGCGGCGGCGGCGGCCACGGCGGCGCTGGAGTCCGAGTAGGAGGGCAGCACCGGCTTGAAGCCGTCCTGGGCCAGCAGGTGTTGGCTGGTGGAGAGCAAGTGCGAGGCGGCGGCGGCCGAGGAGCCCAGGCCGGTGGAGCTGAAGGCCGAGTGCGTGAGCGAGCTGAAGTCGGGGTTGTAGGTGCCGAGCTGCGAGTGCAGCGAGGCCTGGGGGGCGCCCGAGTGCAGCGAGCCCTGCAGCCCCCCGGCGGCGGCGGGGCTCTGCACCTCCAGCCACGAGCCCGGGCTGCCGTGCACGTCCCACCACGACGACGCCGCCGCCGCGCCGTTGGTCACCTCGCCCGCCGCCAGGCTCGAGTGGAAGCCCGACTTGTACCACGACTCGTACGGGTGCGCCATGCCCACGCGCGGGTACAGGCCGTCGGCCGCCGCCGCCGCGGGGTGCACCTTGGAGAGGAAGGCCGACTGGCCTCCCGCCTCCTGCGGGGACACCCCGGCCGCCGCCGCCGCCGCCGCCGCGGCCGCCGCCGAGTTGGAGAAGAGGCCGCCGTAGTCGCTGCTGAAGGCGGACGACGTGGGGGACGTGGAGGCCAGGCAGAAGGCGCTGTTGGCGGCCCCCGAGCCGCCCGCCAGGCCGCCCGAGCCGCGGCCGCCCGCGGCCACCGCGAAGCCCGAGAGGCTGGAGCCCAGGTTGCAGCTGGACGAGGAGCGCTTCCAGGGATGGAAGCCGCCCTTGGCGAAGGCGCTCGACTCCGGCAGCGTCGTCAGCGGGCTCGTGTTGCCGATCTTGTTGCAGGTCGCCGCCAGCATGGCCAACGGGGTCGTTCCGAAGCGCGGCTCTTCCTAAAAGGGGGGTAAGGGACGGGGGGGGGGGTGTCAAGAAGAAGTGGGAGGAAGACACAAAGTGCACCCCGTGAGCCGTCTCGTCGCCCCGCGGCGGGTCCCGGGGGATGGAGGGCGGGCGGGGGTCGTGGCGCCCCGGCTCCTGCCTCCTCCCCTCGCGCTCCACGAGGAGGATGCGGCGCGCCCCGCGGGGACCCCGGCGATCGCCAGGACGAGGGCCCGGAGCCGGAGCCGGAAAGTTGTTTTTTGGTGGGGCTACAATCAAAGGGGTCTCGGTTCTCCCCGCCTCGGTCGCTACAACCCCTGCCCAGGATCAGATTCGTGTTGCTTTCCTGCCCCTGGCCGTAAGCCCGTTCCTTCAAGGATGCCCCCCAAACCGCCCTTAGGGGCGAAGCACCGGGGTAAACACAACCACCACCATCTCCGGGTGACGGCAGAGGCGGCTGAAACAGTGGCCCAGGGGCGGTGGGGGGCGGGGGTAAGGACTTGGGGCACTTCTCCAAGGGTTGCTACTACTTGGTTCTTTTCTTTCCTTTTCTTTTTTTAATAGAAAATGTTTTAAATGTTTAATCAACCCCAAACCCGATGATGAAAACAAGAATCCACGGAGAAGCAACCCAGCGATGGATGTGAGGCGCCAGCGAACCAGGGAGCCACAGAAGTGTAAATGTTTGTTAGCGTGACTACAAACCGATTAAGGCTGTTTTCTGGAAATACCACTGTCGCATAATTGCAACAATCTCCGAAGCAAGAGGGGGGGAGCGGGGGGAGATGAGGGAATGGGGGGTATACATCACGAGGGGGGAAGAAAATAAACCTTTAAGCTTTCTTAAAAAGCCAGATTTAACACGACTGCTTAACAAATCCTTCTCTTACCAACGCACTTCCTTAGGTGCCCATCCCTTGGAAAGAATCGGTCCCTAAAACCTGGCAAAGTGCTGAAAGAAGTTGAAGCTTAACCAGTCCGGCAGCAACAGTGTCTCCCTCCCGAGCCGCGGGGCCCGGAGAAGCCGTAAGGAACAATCACTCCAGTTACAACAAGCAAACGCGTCGCCGCCGCACTGCTGACTTACCCCGAGGATGGACGTGGCCATAGCAGGTCCCTGGGCTGCGCGGCGGCGGGGCCGGGCGCGGGGCTGAGCCTGGCGGCCGCTGGGGGGGGCGGGAGGAACTGCTCGGGTCCCGCGTCCCTGCGCTCGCTCGCGCCGAGCGGACTCCGGGCTCCCGCCGGCCAAACTCAGCCTAAGTGCGAGGCGCACCCGCTTTGAAGTGCCGCTGGCTGCGCCTCTCGCCCAATGAGGGCGCAGGCGCCGCGGCCGGGAGCGGCCCGGCAGCCAATCAGACGCGCCGGAGGGCCTGAGCCGGGGCTCCCGGCGCGTGCCAGTCAAGGCCCCTGAAGCGCGGAGGGGGGTCGCGGGGCTGGGGACTTGGGGAGATTACGGCGCAATTAAACATTTACGCTCACGCATCAAGCCCGGGTGTAAGTACCGTGGAGACCGAGCCACACCACACCCAAGCACCCCTCGGTGATGCAAGTTAGAGCTGACAGTCCCGCTCCACCCCCCACTTGTGGGAAAGGAAAGCAGGAGGGGAGGAGGCGCCGAGGTTGGAGCATCTGCGAGGCCCGAGTGGAGACGCAAATGTCAACGCTCAGCTCGCTCTGTGTGCCCGGGCTTCGCCTTCGGAACACAATTTCAGCTGGAATCCATCACGGTCGCTCGCTCGCGACGTTTGTTTAGCATTGGCGTGTGTCTTCAGCCCGGTTCCTTATTCCCACTTGGATTCAGTTTTACTCTGAATCCCACTGAGGGGATGGTACCTCCGAGGGGAGAGAAAAAAAACATAGGCCTCTTGGTCCCAGTCTACACCCACACAGACTTGGGAGGGCCTGCAGCCTGCTGCATCCCATCATTTCCCCCCAGCGGCCTAAGTGACTTCCTAATTGTCGCTCTGGCCTTTGACCCCGGGGAGTCATGCAAGTGCCACTCACACCAGAAGCTGCTGGTGGTAATTGAGGCCACCCCCTTTGTACCTTTTCGCCAGGCGCCTAGATACCAGGTTAACCCAGTTGTCAAATAGGACTAAACAGTGGGACGTGCCTGATTATCTGCTGGGGGTTGGCAGGCGATGGGTGGGAGGCTCCGCCGATACAACACGCCGCCGCGTGAAGCTGCTTATTTTCACCTTTTAACAACTTTGGAAACAGAGACCCGCGCGAGCCGCGTCCGCCCCCCACCGCCGCCCCCGCCGCCGAGACTGCAGCTTGCTCGGCTGTTTGTTTAACCCGGTGGAGATGTGCGTGTCACGTTTCGCCTAGAGTCGAGTTTTCTTGTTCCAGCTCCAGCCCACTCCCACGCCAGACCTCCTGGGCCTAGATGCTCCTCGGCGGGAGAGGCCGAGGAGAGGGCTCCCGCAGCCGCCCCGCCCCCAGCGCCGGGCTTTGGTGGATGTGCTTTGAAGGAGCCTCTTTCCGGGGACCTCCATCCGCGGTTGGGGGGGAAGACAGGGGGGAATGAGACTCCCCATTTTGCAGGCCTGGAAGGAAGCACCATGAAGTCCCCTCCTGATCTTGTTCGTGTCCTCAGACAATTGCGCATCCCGAATGGAGTCCCTCAGCCACCACCGCTGAGCTGTTTGTTTTTCTCCTTTCTGGGTCTTGCTTTCTTTTTCTTCTCCAGGGCAGCCAGGAGCTGCTCTTTAACCAGAAAAGCCTGCGCCCTCGGACAGACCCGGGTGCCGGTTTTAATACACCACCTTCCCAGCCAAACCCACATCCTGCTATTTAAAAAAACCTCGACCCTCCAGTGGTTGGGTGCAGAACACAAGTTGTTGAGGAGGGGAAGCAAGTGAGGGGGATGTGGAATGGTGCTTTCTCTTCCCTTTTGCAGTATCTCTTCTTGACCCAAACCTGCAAAACCAGCGTGGCTCTTCTCCCGGCCCTGAGATGGAGCCTGCGTGCGCCCCGGTGCCTCCGTGGGTGGGAGGGCGACCTGGGTCCGTTCTCTTCTCTTCTCTAGAATACCTTCGCTCAGAATGGTTTTCTCCCCTTTGGTTTAAGGTGGCGAAAGAACCGAGGAAATTAGGACAGAAAAAGAGGAAGGAGAGGAGAGGAGTGAAAAGGCTCGCGTGACCGTATTGAAGCGCGGTGCTTCGAGGGACTGGGGTGGAAACCCGCGGGGCCAGGGCAGGGGGCAGGTGTGCAAAACCCGGGGTGCAGGGTGGAGTGGGGACCCAGGCAGCCTGGAAGAGCCAGCAAGCCCGGCAGGGGGACCCGGGAGCCGGTCCCAACAGGTGACTTGTGCCCTGGAAGGGAGGCTGGCGCTCGGCTCCCCGCGTCTCCGCGTGGATGTGCTGATAGAGGGATGGTGAAGCGGCAGCCGGGCGTCTCCCATTCGCCCCGCGCAGCCCCGGGAGGGAGAGCGCCCAGAGTTCCTCCTTCCATCTCCTCCCCCACCCCCAACATACCCTCTCCTATGGAAACCCGACCAAGTAATAAATAAGACAATCCGGAAAGCCACTTAGCACGAGTGACATTTTGAAACCAACCGTTTTAAAACCGTTCACGCAGGCACCTCGGACTCCGGCGCCCTGCTTGGTTTGCCTTCCTCGGCTCGCCCTCCGCTCTCTCCCCCCTCCCGCGGGTTTCAGTGCGGTTCCAGCTGTCAGACTCCCTTCCCGGGGCCCAGGGATATTCCTTCAGTTACAGGCATCCGTATCACAAAAGTTAGGGAGATCTTCCAAACCAATGCCCCCAGCCACTTCCCATCTAAGGCGGGGCCCCAAGGAAATCTTTCTGAAGATGTCCAGTTTTTGTGTGCGTGTGAGTGAGTGACAGCTCCCCCCACCCCATCCTCTAAAAATCTAGTTTTTAAACAAAGATCAACGTGTTATGCTAAAGTGTTGAGCTGACTGTTAAAACATTTGGGGAAATAATGACAATGTAACAAAGGCCTGGTTTGGAGTGAATCATCACCCTTTTTAAAAGTTAAAGCAATTTTCAGGAGAATAGCTTTCAGCAAACGCTTTACATTATTCAAAACGGCCAAATAATGCTCTATTATAGCGCCTGAATGCTGCCAGTCAGCCCCTAAGTGCAATTTGTGCAAAGGCCCCGGTGCCTTATCTCCACTTCTTTATAAAGAGGTGAATATAAAACAATTTCTTCTAAACCCAGACAGAGAGCACGAAAATTGCTTCCCTTTCTGCAATCAGGGCAATTTAACTGGAGTGCAATTAGCACTATTAAATGTCGATTCTGCATAAACAAATCTGACTGAGCAGCGAAAGTGGGGTGAGAACCTCATATACACTGAAACTGATTTTTAAAATTATGTATCCGGGTCCTTTACAATTGATCTGTGACGTTTTCATCTTGGAATATATTTACATCATAAATACACTATGGTTAAATCAACATGATTTTTTTTTGCAAAAAAAAAATTCAATAGGAATCCTAATAAAGAAGAATAGGGTAATTAAAGGGAAGACTTCACTTCCTTTGAACAAATATTGTTTCCTCCATCTTGCCTCTGCTGAGAGCTTTGATCTAGAGCAACTGCTCAAGTTGCTTCGTTTAGGAAGCAAAGCCGGGAAAACAATTCAGTCATTAGCACTGACCCGAGGGATTGGAGCTCCTTCACCAAGGGGGGTGGGGGTGGGTGGGGATGGGAGGCTTCTCCCTGACACACCGGTAATAGGGTGAGATTTAGGAGGACCGGTTATCTTCTGAAAAAACTCGAAATATTAGTTGGGAGACTTGAGGCCTTCAGCAGGAGGGGAGGCATGGGGGAAAGGAGGAACCGAAGGCTCAGCCTGGGCTCCCCTGTCAGGTGCCAGAGCTGGCCATCCATGCAGGGATGGTCAGGGTTGGAGAGAGGGGAGAGGCAGGAGAGAGGAACCCATGAAAAGCTTGTATCTGACCTGTCCTCCTCCTACTTTTCTTTACTTATTTGCTAGCCCACAAGGCTCCCTTTTAGAATCATTTGTGCAATTAATTATGCCTTTCATTTGCATGACCTACGCTAGAGCAATGATTATCAGGTTAGCACGGTGTGGGAGTTAGGGAGATACATTAATAACTTGAGTTAAAAAGGAAAAAAGGGAAAAAAGGAAGAAAAAAAAAAAAAAAAAGAAGCTACCCTGTGTACTATAGTCACCTGCCATGAACAAGGATGGAGGAAGCGTATAGACCATAGGTGCCTGTTGAGTGCTGGCGAATCCTTCCCACTGTTGGGTTTTGCCAGTTGTGGGTGCAAATGAAATGCAGCTTTTGATTAGAAGGGAATCTTTTATAGTTAACGCACAGTCGATTTTTAAAAAGCACCAGCCCTGAGATCAAATAGATGGAGAAAATTAATTGAAAATTGAGAAACTCTCCCACAATTTCCGTTGAGCTTTCATTTAATATTTGTTCTAGAATGCTCTCATCCCAGCCCAACTCTTGCAAATAAAAGAGCCAGAAAGGATCAGTAGGCCAATGGAACTTTCATCTTTTCTCCATCTCAGAAGTGTGACAGCTATTTAGAGGTGGCACAAGATGCAAATCCATCTTGTCTTGTAAGGTCTACCAGAGAAGCTGAAGACTCTTCATCCATTAAGTGTATGTACTTCATCCACATGCTACAGACTGGCTGCAAGATGTATCTGGGCCATGTATTTTAAGGCTGCCTTGGTCTGTTTATCTGAGCCAAAAATGCATTAACAATTAAAGGGAAGACTCTGGTGTGTCAAAGGAAGGAAGGTAGCTGTAGACTGTGTGATGATTTTAATGACTGCAATTATTGGGAGATTATTCGACAAGCATCATAGATTTGTTTACTGCATTACTTGGAAACTATGGGGGGCCTATTCAGCTTTGGTGTTAATCTTCCTCCCTCTCCTCGATTATCAGACAGGGTTCCCAGACCTAAGCAAACGTGACATTCAGTGTTGACTCTCTTCTCCTTTTTAGAGAATTTCAACCCAAATGAAGTACACTTGTTGTCTCGGCCAACTCTAATGGAACTATCTCTGGAGACATGAAAGCAGTCTTTTCTCATGGACTCTGAGCTAATATATTAAAAAAACAACAACCAACGGCCAGAGGATTCTGGTC